GAAGGAAGGAAGGAAGGAAGGGCAATAGTAATACCACTTAGACTTATGGTCACTTCTTAATACTTTATGGTCCTCTCTAAGCGATTTACAGAGTCAGCCTCTTGCCCCCAACAATCTGGGTCCTCATTTTACCCACCTCAGAAGGATGGAAGGCTGAGTCAACCTTGAGCCTGGTGAGATTCGAACTGCTGACAACGAACTGCATTTTAACCACCGTGCATCATGGATGGATGGATGGGCTATACCACTTAGACTTATATACTGCTTTGCAACGTTTTAACAGCCCTCTCTAAGCAATTTACAGAGTCAGCCTCTTGCCCCCAACAATCTGGGTCCTCATTTCTCTCACCTCGGAAGGATGGAAGGCTGAGTCAACCTTGAGCCAGTCAGGATCGAACTCCTGGCAGTGAGCTGAAATTAGCCTGCAATGCTGCATTCTAACCACTGCACCACCACAGCTCTTGTTTACTCAAGAGCTGGACTTAGCTCCACTCCAAGGCTGCCTGGACAAACTAAGAATCAAGGCCCAGGGATGCTAAAACATATCTAGGGGTAAAAAAAAAAATCAAGATGGCGGCCCTGCTCATGCCATTGAATTCCTGCCCATTTTTGTGTGTGCTGTGCATGCAATGCAAACTTGAAAACAGGCATGTGAGCTTGGTGGCCGTTTTGACTCTTTGACCATCTCCTGTGCTTGCCTGCAAGTAGAGCCTCTCTGGGTCCCACCTGGGTGACCTGCTGACCACCGAGGCTCAGTGATGAATTGCCAGTGTAGGTCAACACCCTTTTCTGCCTGGAATCTTGTCCCACAGAATCTCCAAAGCAGAAAACGTCATTTTACAGGTTGTCCTAAACTTACGTCCATTCATTTAACAACCATTCAAAGTTGTGACAGGGCTGAAAAAGTAACTTGTGCCTGATCCTCACAATTACTAGCAGTAATTAATAGCAGTCACTGAGAGAGGGAGCTTGGAGTCTTAGTGGACAACCAGCTAAACATGAGCCAATGGTATGTGGCGGCAGCCAAAAAAGCCAATACAATCCTTAGCTGCCTTAAAAGAGGGATACAATCAAGATCAAGTGAAGTACTAATACCACTCTATAAAGCCATAGTAAGACCACACCTAGAGTACCACATCCAGTTTTGGTTAGCACACCATAAAAAAGATGTTAAGACTCTAGAAAGAGTGCAGAGAAGAGCAACCAGGATGATGAGGGAACTGGAGGCTAAAACATAGGATGAACAGTTGCAGGAACTGGGCCTGGCTAGTCTAGGGACCAGGGGAGACATGATAGTGGTCTTCCAATATTTGAGGGGCTGCCCCAGAGAGGAGGAAGGGGTCAAGCTATTTTTCAAAGCACCCGAAGGCCAGACAAGGAGTAATGGATGGAAACTGAACAAGGAGAGATTCAACCTGGAAATAAGGAGAATTTTTCTGACATTGAGAAGAATCAACCCATGGAACAGAAGTTGCCTTCGGAAGTTGTGGGAGCTTCATAACTGGAGGCTTTCAAGAAGAGACTGGACTGCCATCTGTCAGAACTGGTGTAGGGTCTCCTACTAGGGCTGGGGGGGTTGGACTAGATGACCTACAAGGTCCCTTCCAATTCTGTTAATCTGTTAAAATTTGTTACGATTATCCTAGCCGCCCCCTAGTCACAGAATTACTATTTGTGAGCTTTATTTGAGCATTTAATGCTTTTGGAATCCAGAAATTGTATTTTATGATTCTTGAATCAGGCAATTGTGATAGGAATATCTTTGCCCAATACTTCAAAATTAAAGGCATTCTAACTGAAACTCAAGTGGGATTTAAAAATGCCAAAAATGTCCTGGAATGTCTAAAATATTGATTCTGTCTATTTTTACTTAGGTGTCTTTTTTTTTCTCCCTTCCTTTCTCTAGACTGGAAACAAAGAAAAATAAAATTTTTTGTGCCAACCCAGACCATGACTGGGTCAAGAAAGCTATGCAGGACATAGATGCAAGGACTATATACGCCACCACGGAAAACCTCCCTGCAGTTAACAGACATTCAGGAGAAGCTGAAATGGAGGTTGGTGACAACGCTCAGCCCACAAACAAAGTGAGCACAACAACCGCCCACAAGACAGCAACATCCCCTGTGAGAACCACAGCAGATCCCCAACCTTTTGTGGAAAGAGGGCTGGCTGGCTTGGAGGCCACCCCGTCTTCTCCATCGTTGACTCCTCCTCAACCAGAAACCATTGCTGATAAATCCACCTTTCCACCTGACCCGATTGCACATCACGAGGCAGGGTCAGAAAACTTTGAGGAGCACAAAAGATTGGGGGAACATTTCACGCCAACCAAGAAAGGCCTGGAGGACTTCTCTAGAACAACCCAGCGGTTGGTGTCCCCGCCGGTGCCTTTTCCAGGAACTGACCAAACAAGGACCCAGAGTCCTACGTCTGTTTCAGAAACTCTTGTGAGTCCTTCAGCCCGTCCTTCCATGAACTCTTCTGCCAGCAAGCTTCTCCTGGAATTTGTCACAAAAGATAAGACGTTGATTACGATACCCACCAAGCTCTCCACCTCTCCCGAGCTGTTTTTAAGCAGCTTCAACGCAGACCATAAACCACCGTCCGTTGAGGGTGCCACAACTCAACTTCCTATCAACTCTAGTCGCCCTTCAAGCACACAGTTTGGTTCTGATAGAACCGGCCTCGATTCTGTCCAGTTTCAAGGTGTGATTGATGCAGAAGGTGAAGGAGGCACCACGCAAACACCTCTATCTATTGGAACTGGTCCTTCAAGTAGAACTTCCTCCAAACCTTCATTCACTCTCCCAGTTCCAGGTTATCACCAAGAAATGTTTAATGGGAGTGCTCCGATATCCAACCCAAACACCTCACCAACAACTTTAGATTTCTATCCCCATCCCCAACCTATGGTACAAAACTACATCATCCCCGTACTTTCTATTGGGGGTGTCCTCTGTGTCTTCTTGGCAGTTGGTGTCTTAGTCTACCTTAAGCGCAACATATGTACCGAACGGTCATCTAAGAGGCAGGTTCAAGGACTGATGTATTACCCCTGTGACTCTCAGGCTGAGACCTATCCCCTGGAAATGGTTTGACCTTTCCATCTTTTTCCATCTTATTGTAAAAGAGGGATGGACTGGGCTAGTAGCACAACTGATGGGAGTCCTGTCTGTTCTCCCTCTTCTTCTCTGCCAAAGTCAACATGGTTTGCAGCTGTTGGTCAGAGGATGCACTAAAGCATAACGACATATTGGTCCTATGAGGTGTTTTAGCATTATGAGATATATTTTAGCTATGGAGCAAGGACAGAGTCTTCAACGTGGGAAGCAGGCCTCCATATACCAAAGCAAGAACATTCATTGGAAGAAAAGAGAACTATCTATCCCTTCCTAGGCTGAATCTGGCTAGGTCCCAATAGGTTGTCGGTACGGTTTGATTGTAACTGATGCTTGAGTTGAGCCATAAAGGATGAGCAGGGCTGGCCCAGAATATCTACCTGTTTGAGATGAAAGAGGTGCCTATTACCCTCCTCTACTCTTCTAGGTTTACTATGGAGGTTGACCCAGCGGGTGGTTGCATTTTCTTCCACTGCTGGTGAAAAAAAAAGCACAAATCCAGAGGTTGTGCCCTGCAGGATTCCCCCAGACCAGGAGTGGGATCCTACAGGTTCGCACCTATTCGCTAGGACCGGTTGTTAATATTCTAAGCAGTTCAGTGAACCGGTTGTTAGAAGAAATTACTGGCCTAATCCTGTAAGGAAGGCAGGAAGGAAACATTCTGGTGTTGCTTATAGAAACTGCCTCTCCGTTAACCCTCATTCCATTCTTGGCAGGACGAGACTTCCTGTCTCAGGAACATCTCTGGAGTTTTTTTCCCCTCCTTTGCTGGTGCTTTGCTTGTGTGGAGTGACCATTCAAAGTTACAATGGCACTGAAAAAAGTAACTTATGACCGTTTTTCACGCTTACAACTATTGCAGCATCCCCACAGTCATGAGAGGCCAGGTGAGCTGATGCATGCCTCGATGTGAGTGATATTGAGTTGGCCACGCCCAGCCAGTCACATGACCACCAAGCCACACCCACCAATTTAGCCACGCCCACAGAACCGGTTGTTAAAAAAATTGAATCCCAGCCCTGCCCCAGACCCCAACATCTGTCTTTCTTAGTCCTCTTGGTAAGTGCTGAGTCTTGGGTTGGTCTTTAGTTGTCCAGCAAGAGTCTTTCAGGTCATGAAAACATCAATTGAGAGTAGATCTTGTGGGTGCTCGGAGAAAGGCACCCCTGACATCTTCTGCTTAGAAATGATCGTGTCAGGGAAGTGAAAGTTGTTACATCAAAATTGCCATTAGGAAAAAAAAAAGAGTGACACAAAAAGCTATTTCACTTTTCTCAAAATGCACTTTTGATATTTTAAACCCTGCGGGTTTGGGAAATCTGCTATAAATCAGATTTGTTTTATATTATCTTTTTCAAACAATGAAATGAATAAAACAATGAAATAAATCAGGGCTGTTTTACATTCTCTTCCAAACTAATAAAATAAACCAGAACCAGTTTTTTAGATGATCTTTGAAGATAATAAAAGAGGCAATCAGATTTAACGCAGGCAGCATGTTGTCTTTCATCCATGCAAGTTAGAAACGACAAAGAGATTTGGAGACTCTAAAAATGAGAGAACTGAATAGCTATAAGCACAAAGACCAGTTGTAAGCTATTTTTTTAAACACCCTCATAACACTGAACAGTCACTAAGTGAATGATCATCAGTCAAGGACTACTATAAGTAAGTCGGTAGTCCCTGACTTAGAACATTTCATTTAATGACCATTCAAAGTTACGACAACTCTGAAAAAAATGGGATGCCTGTTTTTCACACTTACAACTGTTGCTGCATCCTGATGGTCGCAAAATCAAATATTCAGATGCTTGGCAACTGACTCGTACTTATGATGGTTGCCAAGGGGTCACATGATCCCCTTTTGTGACCTTCTGAAGGTTGTAAAATGGGGCAAAACTCACTTAACAACTGTCTCTCTTATCAACGGAGAATTTCGTTGCTCAGTGGTTCCCTTTCAACTGCAGTTTGTATAAAGGCTGAAGACAATAACTTTTTTATAGTACCAAACTCGAGGGCTCACAGGGAGAGGCAGGGAAACAGCAGGGATGCAAACCTCTATTTGCTTAATGGTTCCTCTTCTCTCTTCTAAGCCATAATTCAAATTTCTTGTTACTGATTTAAGAGAAAATCAGAATAAATATCTTTTCACTTTCTTGTCCCAGGTAATCGTATATTCCCCAAATTCCTGGGAAAAGTAGCTCAACACTACAAAGGCTAAAGTTACTTTATTGGATTATATCAGGCATCCTCAAGTTATAACTCACAGTTATGCTGAGATTCATCTAATGTCCAATCTTCGCATTGTCGTCTTCATAGCGTGAAAAGATAGTTATCTTCATCCCATAACGATACAGCAAGGGAAGACTCCAACACGATGCTGGGGTCCAGGTAAGAATGACGGTGGTCCTAAGTCCACAATATGGTACTGGTGTACCTGGTATTGTTTTCCTAATCCAGTCTTCCCTGGCGAAAAAGTTATCCAGGTAGCTTTTACCACGTGAAAACCTCAGTTCTAGCTTTGCCTTATATTAAATCACTTGGCCTTTAGGAAAATAATTCCTTTCTCTACAAATGGAGTTGGGAATCTTTCTTTCCTTGAAGACCAAGCTGGGGAAGGCCAGACACTAAGCTGGAACATGTTTTCCCATTTAAAAGAGATAACTTTCTCCTTTTTCCTCCTCCCCCCTGGTTACCTCCCCACTTCTCCGGTTACATTAATTTAAAATAAATTGTTTTGGTAACTGTCCCTGTCTTGGTGGGTTGCGTGATGCTGCATTCCATGCCTTGTCCTTGAAGCAGCCAACGACTTTCATAGGGTGGCACTTTGGGTTGCTTTGATTCTTCCCTTGCTGCCCCCTTTCCTCCCCTCCATGCCCCCCCCCCCGCCGTCTACGGCAGACTGGCATCTGGTGAGGCTTGGCTGATGTGGCAGAACGACAAACGTTTTTGCTCCATGGCTTCGGTGAATTTTTAGGTATTATTCAAGGTACCTTTATGGTATCATCAACCATAAAGATAAGGTAAGGCAAAGTAAGATAGATAAGATGATAAGATGGGATGAGAGAAGAGTGCAGAAGAGGAGAGGAGAGGAGAGAATAGAATAGGGAAGGGAAGAGAGGAGAGGAGGGGAGGAGAGAAGAAGAGAGGAATGAGAGAATAGAATAGGAAAAGAAGGAGAGGTGAGAGGAGGAGAAGGAGAGGAGAGAATAGAATAGGGAGGAAAGGAGATAACCATCACGCAAGGAAACTTGAGGAAAGAGGAAACCTGAGAGTTCGCAAGGTTCATGCTATAAGGAACAAAACTGTGACTGAATCTGGATGTTCCGCTTCGGATACTACGAATCTCCTTCCCAGAAGATAACAAGAAAAACAGGTTGTGAAGAGGCTGTGTAGCATCCCAGACAATCCTGCAGACCCTGTTCAAATATCGCTTATGTGCCACGTCCTGGAGAGAAGGAAGTGGACTCCCAATAATCTTTTCTGCTGTCCTCACCACTCTGTCCGAAACAGTAAAGCTCTTCAGGACTTTGAGTTAACTGTTAGCAGGGCCACTGACCCCCAATATCTGTGCTCACCCCACTAAATTTCACAGGATTGGCCTGCTCTCGGTCTCTCTTCCTTCAAACAACATCCTCAAGAATCTCCTTGGTGGAAGATGGAAGTTTAATAACCTCTCTTTCTATATATAAAAGCAAAATACCACTCACGCATCATCACAAAATCTCCAGGACCGTAAAGCCTATAAACTTGAAATTTAGCACATATGTTCCTCTTGGCTTCTAGGTGCTCACTGAGAAAGGATTTTTCGAAATGACCCTCAGAGCATTAGTATTTCATATATTATTATTATTAACACGCTCTGATGCTAAAGGAGTTCCGCTCCCACTCCCCACCTGAGAAGAAATCTGTTCCAAATGCGAAACACAAGCAGAGGAGAGGAGTTTCAGTTTTAGTTTCACAGCACCAAGCAGCTTTAGTACAGAACAGTTGAGCTAAGCCACGCCCAGGCTCCTTGCTGTCTCCTTCTTGCTCACACAGCAAATATTGTTTCAGTTTCCAAAGAGCCCCCAACTCTCTCACACATTGACAGGACTAGCCAGATAAATACCAATGGATGCTGGTAGGCAGAGGCATAATCCCCCCCACCTTATTTTCCTCTCCAAAAACTAAGCCCGACCACATAGTTTCATAGCGAAGCACAGGTATAGAGCTAGTAAATAAATAAAATCTTGTTGGGTCCAGAAGTGGTGATTTTTCATCTGTGCTATGAAACCACAGCCTCTGGAGACCCAGATGGCCCTGACTCTCTTAGTCTTGTAAGATGTTTAGGCCAGGAAGTCAGAGAGCTGGTTAATATTGTTTTGTTTTATACGGAGAGATGGTTGTTTGCACTACGGATGTTGTGATTTGGATTGTGAAATGCTCGTTTTAATCTTGTGTACCACCTAGAGTCTTTGTATCAATTCAATCAATCACTTCGGGTCAACCTTCAACAAACCGGCCTTCCATAGAAATGAGAATTTGCAATTTCCAGTGGGTCCCAGATAGCCCACCCAAGGGACGGCTGAGCACCACGGGAGTTGTAGCACATCAAGCCCTGCTAGAGACAGGTTGGGGGATGCAGTTTTAAATGTTAATGGGGAGCCCCATGTTGAAGTTTAGAAGAGGTTAAGAAAAGAAGAGCTGGGCAAATTAAAATCGTGGTCTTATTGAGACGCTTACTTCATTAAGCCAAGTTTAGTGAATCTGGGCTTGCATCCTTTCTGAGCCAGCCTTGATTAAACCAGAGATTTGGCTTTGAAGGAAACTGGTTGCATTCCTTTATTTTAAATCACAGTTTGGATGCCACTGAGTTTAAAAAAAATGCAATATATCCCCTCGCTCCCAAACTTGATTAATGTGAAATTCTTTTAGAGTTTTCTTCCATCGGTTTTCCACTTGAATGAAACCATGTTTTTGGCCTAAGGATCTGGAACATTTGGGGTTGGGGCAGACATCTGGGAAAAAAAAAATCAAAGTAGTGGCCACAGCTACACAAAACATTGCCCCCTCCCTTATATAAGTGACCCCACTAAAGATACCATTTGAATTTAGATTTTTTTTAAAAATGTAACCTATCCATTTTGTGTCCATGGCACTAGACTTAATGATCATGTAAGAATAAACTGAAATATTAATAGGAACAGTTAGAATTCATTGAGGGGGTTCTTTGTCTCTTTATAGTCTAGTTAGCCACACTTGGAATACTACATCCAGTTTTGGTCACCACGATGTAAAAAAAGATGTTGAAACTCCAAAGTCTTAAAGTGGCCAATGTTGGATACCCCTGGGAGACAATCTCCTGCTTGAGCAGAGGCCTAGAAGACGTCCAAGAAGAGGTGGTCTTCAGCAGGTTCTGACCAGTTCTGGAGAACCTGTAGTGGACATTTTGAGTAGTTCGGAGAACCGGCCAATCCCACCCCTGACTGGCCCTGCCAACCCCATCCATTCTCTGCCTCCTATTGAGTCCCAGCTGATC